AGAAATGGAGTCGAGAGGAATGGAATGTAATGAAATTGAATGGCATGGATTGGAATGGAAGGGAATGGAAAGGAATGGAGAAGAATGGAATGGAGAGGAATGGATTGGAATGGAATGGAGAGAATGGGAACGGAGAGGAAGAGAATGGAGAGGAATGGAAAGGAATGAAGAGGAATGCAATGGAGTGGAATGGAATGGAGAAGAATGGAATGAAATGTAGAGGAATGGAATGGAGTGGAATGGAATGGAGTGGAATGGAATGGAGAGGAATGCAATGGAATGTTGAGGAATGGAATGGAGGGGAATGGAGTGGAAAGGAAGGGAGAGGAATGGAATGGAGTGGAGTAGTATGGATTGGAATGGAATGGAATGAAATGGAGAGGAATGGAATAGTATGGAATGGAAAAGAATGGAGAAAAATGGAATGGAAATTGAGGAAAGAAATGGAATGGAATGGAATGGGAGGGAATGATATAGGAAGAATGCAATGCAATGCAATGGAAGGGAGAGTAATGGAATGTAAAGGAGGGGAATGGAATGAAACAGAGAGGAATGGAATGAAATGGATAGGAAAGGAATCGAATGGAGTAAAATGGAGAGGAATTGAACAGGGTTCATGGAATGGAATGAAATGTAACGGAGTGGAGAAGAATGGAAAGGAATGGAGTGTAATGGACAGGAGTGGAATGGAATAGATTGGAATGGAGTGACATGGAAAGGAATGGAATGTAGAGGAATGGAATGGAATATATAAGAATGGAATGGAATATAAAGGAAAGGAGAGGAATGGAATGGAGAGGAATGGAATGGAATGACAAGGAATGGAATGAAGATGAATGGAAAGGAGAGAAATGGAATGGAGTGGAATGGAATGGAGTGGAATGGGTTGGAGTGGAATGAATGGAGAGGAATAGAATGATATATAATATAAGGGAATGGAGATTAATTGAATGGAAAGGAATGGCGGTAGATGGATGTAATGGAATGAATAGGAAAGGAATGGAATAGAATGGAAAGGAATGGAAAAGAATGGAGGGGAATGCAATGGAATGGAAAGGAAAGGAGAGGAATGCAATGAAGAGGAATAGAATGGAATGGAGAGGAATGGAAAAAAGAGGAATGGAATGGACAGGATTGGAATGGAATGGAGTGAAATGGAATGGAATGGAATGGAGTGGAGTGGAATAAAAGGGAGAGGAATGGAATGGAATAGAGATGAATGGAATGCAATGGAATGGAGAGGAAAGGAATGGAGAGGAATGGATGGAATAGAATGAAATGGAAAGGAATGGAATAGATTGGAAAAAGATGGAATAGAATGGAGAGGATTGGAATGGAATGGAATGGAATCGAATCCAATCGAACGTAGTAAAAAGGAATGGAATGGAGAGGAATGGAATAGAATGGAATGGTGAGAAATGGAATGCAGAAGTATAGAATGGAATGGAAAGGAATGGAATGGAATTTAGAGGATTGGAATGGAGGGTAACGAATGGAGAGGAATGGAAAGGAATGGAGAGGAATGGAAAGGAATGGATAAAAATGGAAGGGAGAGTAATGGAATGGGGATGAGTGGAATGGAATGGAGAGGAATAGAATGGAGGGGAATGGAGAAGTATGAAATGGAGAGGAATGGAATGGAATGGAGAAGAATGGATTGGAATGGAATGGATTGGAATGTAGAGGAATGGAAAGGAGAGAAATGGAATAGAATGGAATGGAATATTATAGAGAGTAGTGGAAAGGAGAGGAATTTAATGAAGAGGAAAGAATAGAGTAGAATGGAATGGAATGGAAGGGAGAGGAATGGAGTGACATGGAGGTAATTTAATGGAATGGAGTGGAATGAAATGGAATGCAGTAGAATGGAGAGGAATGCAGTGGAATGGAGAGGAATGGAATGGAGTGGAATGGAATGAAATGGAGTGGAATAGAGATTAATGGAATGAACTGGAAAGGAATAGAATGGAAGGGAATTGGATCCAGTGGAATGGAATGGAATGGCATGGAATTTAAAGGAGGAGACTAGAAAGGAATGGTGAGGAATGAAAAGGAGATGGATGAATGGAATATAATGGAATGGAATGGAGGCGATTGTAATGGAGAGAAATGGACAGAGAGGACGGGAAAGGAATGGAGAGGAATGGGATGGAGTGGAATGAAATGGAGAGGAATGGAATGGAATTGAGAGACATGCAATGGAATAGAGAGAAATGAAATGGAGTTGAGTAATATGGTTTGGAAATGAGTGGAATGGAACGTAGAGGAATGGAATTGAATGGAGTGGAAGACAAGGGAATGGAGTGGCACGGAATGGAGAAGAATGGAATGGAATGGAGAGAAATGCAATGGAACAGAATGGAGACGAATGGAAAGGAATGGAACGGAATGGAATGAAATGGAGAGGAATGGAAAGGAATAGAGAGGAATGGAATGGAATAAAGAGGAATGGAATGGAGAGGAATGGAATCGAATCGAATCGAATCGAATCGTATCAACTCAAATGGAGTGAAATGGAATAGAATGGAGAGGATTGGAAGTGAATGGAATGCAGAGGACAGGAATGGAAAGGTATGGAATGGAATGGAATGGAAGGGAATGAGGGGAATGGAATGCAGAAGAATGGAACTTAGGGGAATGGAATGGAATGGAATGGAGTGGAAAGGAATGTGTATTGTAGAGAAAAAGTATGCGTTGGAATGGAATGAAACGAAATTTAGTGGGATAAAGTGGAGTAGAATGGAATGCAATGGAAAGGAATGGAATGGAGTTGAATGGAGACGAATGGAATGGAAAGGAATGGAGAGGAATGGGAAAGATTCGAATGGAATGGAATACAATGGAATGGAGAGGAATGGAATAGACTGTAATCGAACTGAAGGGAGAGGACTGGAGTGGAATGGGAAAGAATGGAATGGAAAGAAAGGTAGAGAAATGGAATGGAATGGAATGGAGAAGATTCGAAAGGAGTGAAATTTAATAGAAAGGAATGGAATAGAATGATATAGAAAGTAACGGAAAGGAGAAGGATTGAATGGAGAGGAAAGAAATGGAGTAGAATGTAATGGAATGTAACGAAATGGAAGGGAGAGGAATGGAAAGAAAGGGAGAGGATTGGAATGGAATGGTGTGGAAAGGAATGGAATGGCGTGGAATGCAGTAGAATGTAGAGGCACAAAGTGGAATGGAGAAGAATAGAATGGAATGTGATTGAGTGGGATGGAATGTAATGGAAGAGAAATTAATTGAATGGAATGGAAAGGAATGGAATGGAATGGAATGGAGTCGAGAGGAACGGAATGTAATGGAATTGAATGGCATGGAATGAAATGGAAGGGAATGGAAAGGAATAGAGAGGAATGGAATGGAGACGAATGGAATGGAATGGAGTGGAGTGGATTGGAATGGAGACAAATGGAATGGAAAGGAATGGAAAGGAATGAGGAGGAATGGAATGGAATGGAATGGAATGGAAAAAATGGAATGGAGAAAATGGAATGGAATGGAATGGAAAAAATGGAATGAAGCATAATGGAATGGGGAGGAATGGAGTGGAATGGAAAGGAGAACAATGGAATGGAGTGGAGTAGTATGGATTGGAATGGAATGGAATGAAACGGAGAGGAATGGAATAGTATGCAAAGGAAAGGAATGGAGAAAAATTGAATGGAAATTGAGGAAAGAAATGGAATGGAATTGAATGGAAGGGAATGGAATAGGGAGATTGCAATACAATGCAATGGAATGGACAGTAATGGAATGGAATGGAGAGGAATGGAATGGAGAGGAATACAATGGAATTGAGAGGAATGAAATGAAATGGATAGGAAAGGAATCGAAATGAGTAAAATGGAGAGGAATTATACATATATAGTACTAATACATATTTATGGGGAAAGGCATTAAATGCACGATATGCATACGGTTATGTAAGATTTTATTAATACTGACATGTTATATAAGAATGACCAAGTTCTTTTGGTGTGCAGGGAATAGTTTATTAAGAATGCCAGCTTTGGGGGTTGGTGGTGGGGTATAGAGCCTCTTCCTTGAGGTGAGGGTCCTTGGGAGGTTGTTTCCTTCATTTTTGGTTTACAAGACCAAGGTAATGGTTATACTACGAGGACTCTATCATTTGAGTATTTTACTTTCAATTAGGTTAATTATAGGCATAAGGATTAGAATAGTTAGGAAATATAGGATGGAAGCTGCTTGGCCAATGATAATGAATGGGTATTCAACAGGTTGGCCGCCGATTCAGGTTAGTGTTAGCAGGTCAGCTACTAGGATTCAGAATAGGCTGAGGGGGCGAAAGGTTATACTTAGATGTGTGTAATATAGGGATGATAGCTAGAATTAGGATGGATATTACTAGGGCTAGAACGCCTTCGATTCCCTCCATGTGTGACCCTGAGGACATGTCCTGACCTCTCTATGCTTCTGTCAATGCCAGGAATGACTATAGGATGCCTATAATAAATACATCACCTTAATGCACCCTTATTTTATTGATAGAGGATTGGTAAAGGCAAACTTAAGGGGCGTGGCAAAAGCACTAGGGAATCACTGGTGTAGACAAGATGTTAATCCAGGCACTCTGGACAGAGTTGTGTTTCTGATGGTGACATGAAATGGCCATTCATGATCTAGCAACTGGTAGTTTTGTGAGTTAAATTTTGCATTTCATTTTCTTTTCTGTTTGTAGTATGAAAAAAACTTCAGACCATTTTACTTTTTATTTTTTTTTTATTTTAAAGGTATGGGGTACAATTCAGGTTTAGGTATACAAGTGGTCATCATACAGGTAATGTTTTTGCCTCCCATTGGTCCCCACTTTGCCTGGTTTGAGATCATGTAACTTTATTGATGTCCACCCCCCACCGCCACCCCTTCCCAGTTGTATCTTGCTACTGCCAACTCCTTTCTTTTTTTGCCTTTGATTTTTGTTTATTTTTAGCAAATAGATGGCAAAATCTATACACCGTGGCATATGAGCCCCATCACAGGGTGTGAATGATGGTCAAGTTGTGAAGCTACTGGATGTACTCCTGGGCATGGGAGACGGCGGTCTTGGGCGCCTCAGGCAGAGGTGGGGGTCCTTCCACTAACTTCACAAAATAGTGGCACTAAACCTTCTCCATGATCTCAAAGTAGCCTCTGCCATGGTAACGGATACATTTCAGACACTGGCCTCATCCTGAGGTGGACTCAGCTATATGTAAATTGGACCTGAATTCCACATTGTGGCCTCTCACTGCCATATCTTGTGCTTCTAAGAGAACCTCTTTAATTATTTGGGCCCCCTTTTTGTCATTGAATTCCAACTGAGCCAAAGCCTTGTCGATGGACATTCCCCATATCAATTTTGCCAAATACCACATCTTGTCTTTGCTATATTTTATTTGTCTTCGACAGTGGTAGATTTCTGCTGGCCTCCGAGGTTCTCCAGGCAGTTGTGGAGGATAAATAATTTTGTTCTTCTTCTCCCATTTTCGAAAAATGTCCAGAGAAACACTGGTGTGGATGTACGACTGAGGTAAAACACCCAAAGCCAGCTTCCCCTGACTCCTCAGGTTCTGTATCCACAATGCACCCCACTGTCCCAGAACTGTCACTGCCATCTTTTGCCACCCCCCCCTAGGAAGCCCAACTCCGTTCTTGAAGTATTATGGTCATTATTCAGAGTCTGCTTATGAATGAGAGCATGTGGTACTCTGTTGTTTGTTTCTGTGATTCATCAATGAGTATGATAGACTCTACATCCATCCAAGTTTCTTCAAAGTCCATATATTTGTACTTCTTTCTGACTGCATAGTATTCCATTGTGCATGTGTACCACATTTTTTTAACCAGGCCACGCTGAATGAATGGCATGATTGGGTTCCTGTTTTTGCTATTGTGGATAATGCTGCAATAAACATGCATGTGCAGGTATCTTATTAAAAGAATTATTTGAGTACTGCTGGGAATATTCCCAGGAGGGGGATTGCTGGATCATATGGAGAGTCAATTTCTAGTTTTTGTCAGAAATCACCACACTGTTTTCCAAACAGCTTGCACTAGTTTCTATTCCTACCAACAGTGAGAAGCATTCATTTTTTCCTTATCCTCATCAGCATCTGTTGTTGTTTGTTTTATTAATGATGGTCATTCTTACTTGTTAGGTGGCATCTCAATAAAGTTTTGATTTGCATTTCTCTGATAATTAGTGACACTGAGCACTTATTCATGTGTCTGTTGACTGTTCATATATCTTCTTTGGAGAAGTGTCTATGCATGTCTTTTGTCAATTTTTTAATGGGGCTGTTTGATTTTTTCCTTTCAGCACATTTGAGTTCTTTGTAGATACTGGATATTATGCTTTTGTTAGATATACAATTAGAAAATACTTTTTCTTAGTCTGTGAGCTGTCTCCCTGCTCTCTAGGTTTCTTTTGTTTTATAGAAGCTTTTCAGTTTGATGAGGTCCCACTTGACTGTCTTAACTCTTATGGCATGGGCACTAGGACTTTGATCAGGAAGTGTTTGCCAGTTACAATTTCCATATGGGTGTCTACTGCATTTTCTAGGGTTCTTTGAGTTTGAGTTCTTGCATTTAGTTCTTTAGTCAATTTAGAGTTAATTTTTTTGTATTGTGGTAGGAAGGAGTCCTGTTTCATTCTTCTACATATGGTCAGTCACTTTTCTCAGTACCATTTACTGAATAGGTTCTCTTTTCCTCAGTGGGTGTTGGTGGAACCTTTGTTGAAGATGAGTTGGTTGAGAAAGTGAGGCTTTGTCCATTGGTCTGTATGTCTGTTCTTGTACCAATACCAGGCTGTTTTGATTATTGCAGTCTTATAATTGTATTGAAGTTACTTGAGTGTGATACCTCCTGCTTTGTTTATTTTGGTGAGAATTTTTTTTGCTATCCGTGATCATTTTTGTTTCAATATGAATTTCTGTATTGTCATCTTTAGTTCTAAGAACGATCATGGTAATTGAATGTATATTGCATGTAATCTGTTGATTGTCTTTGGTAGGAATTTCAACTTGTCAAAAGGTAAAAAAAAAAAAGGATTAAAAAGTGGCCAAAGGACATGAATAGACAGTTCTCAAAAGAAGATATACAGGAGGCCAACACACACATGAAAAAATGCTTAGCCTCACTAATCATCAGAGGATGTATATCTTAACAATGTTAGTTCATCCAATCAATGAGCAGGGAATATTTTTCCATTTGTTTGTGTCTTTGGTACTTTGAGCAGTGTTTCTTAGCTTTCATTGTAAAGGTCTTTCACTTCTCTGGTTAGGAAGATGAAAAGGATGTATTTGTGTGTGGCTATTGTGAATGGGATTGTGCTTTTTATTTGGTTCTCTGCGTGTTTATTGTTGGTGTATAAAAATTACTGTCTTTTTTACATTCATTTTATACCCTGAGACTTTAACAAAGCCTTTTGCCAATGCAAGGATTTTTTTTACCTATTCCCTTGAATTTTCCATGTATATAATTATATCATCCATAAAGAGAGATAGCTTAACTTCTTCTTTTCCTATTTGGATACCATGATATTTTTCTATTTTCTGATTGCTCTAGGTAGAACTTCCAACACTATTTTGGACAGGAGGGATGAGCATGGGCAACATTGATTTGTTCCAGTTTTCAGGTGAAAATTATTTACAATTTCATAGTATGTTGGCTGTGGTTTTATCATAGCTGGCTTTTACTATTTTGAGATATGTTACCACTACATCTAGGTGTTCAAGGTTGTTTTTTTTTAAATGAAGAATGATGCTGGATTTTGTAAAAAGCCTTTTCTGCATCTAATTATATGATATTCCAGTTCTTGTTTTTACATTTGATGATGTATCTATGGCCTTTTAGATGTTAAACCAGTCTTGCATTGTGGTGATGAAGAATACTTGGTCATGGTGGATGAATTTTGAAATGTGTTGTTGGATCCAATTTGCTGGAATCTTATTGAGTAATGTTGCATCTATATTCATCAGAGATGTTGTCCTGATTCTCGTTCTTTGTTTTTATATTTTTTGTTTGTTTGTTTGTTTGTTTTTTGATCTTTTTCCGGATTGTTGAGTATCTGTGTGATGTCAGCTTTATAAAATGATTTGGAGAGGGTTTCATCATTTTTGATTGCCTAGAATACTTTCAATATAAGTGATATCAGCTCCTCCTTGTATGATTTTTAGAATTCTGAATGAAAACCATCCGGTCCTGTTTGTTTTATTTTTTATTTATTTATTTATTTTTTTAAGATACTTTTCTTTTAACTGAGCCAATGTCTTGGGTTGTTATTGTTCTACTTAGAGTCTCCATTTTTTGTGCTTTCATCCTTGGGAGGTTGTGCAATGTGAGAAAATCCTTTATTTCAATTACGTTTTTGAATTTGTTTAACTACAGGTGTTCATAGTAATGTCTGATAATCTTTTGTATTTCTTCAGAGTAAAGTGTGGTTTAATCTTTTGCATTTCTGATTGTGTTTACTTGTGCTTTTTTGTTTCTTTGTTGTCAGTTTGGCTATGTGTCCATTAATCTTGTTTATTGCTTCTAAAAGCAAGCTTTCTGTGTCATTTATTTTTTCTATTATATATTTTTGTCTTCTTTGTCCTTATTTGGGCTTTTATTGAGTATATACACATCTCCTAATAAAAAACATTAGCTCAAGATGAGTTGTAAACTTAAAATTAATACCTGGAATTAGAAAGTTCACTTGACAAACACCTAGGAAAAACTCCTTTAAACATTAATGTGAGAAAATAATGTATAGAATAAAGCTCTGGAAGTCTTTAATTTGTAAGAGAAAACGAACATATCTTTTCCATGTGCCAAATACTTCTTATTTGCTGGCATTTGTGCACTTGTCTGAAGCATGCAATAATGAAAGGCAATCTGACATTGATTTGCTGACATACCAACTCTGTGTATGTCCCTGGCTCTAACCTGATCACAACCAAGAGTGCTGTTTGCCCAAACTGACAAAGCCAAGGACAACATATATTATAGTGGTACAACATTACCGAAAGTGTATTGCTGGATGTACATGAAAAATGAAGGTTTGAAGCTTGTCCTGAATTGATGGTCCATGTTGACTCTTTCTGCTAAAAAGCACTGTATAGGAGAAATTCCACCATGCTGCAATAAAAGACACACAGAAAAACTTGGATTGGGCTGGGAATCAGCAAGATGTAAAATGAAACCTCTTTTTACATCTGCTTCTGAGCTGGTTTCCCAGAGACCTTTGGTGTCCTGCATAACTATGATGGGAGATTTGTGTCTGGGTTCACAAATACTTCCCCTCACAGTGTTCCTTGCACCATAAAACAAAGCCATTTTGTCAGCTTTCAGGCTGGTCATATTAAGAGAAACTGTATGCAGGACTGAAGGATTGATGCAGGTGATTGTAAGTTTTCTTTGTACAGACGGAAAATACATTTTCCCAGTTGGATTACTCACTGTTGCCACTCACGCCAGCCCATGCCTTTGTTCCTGGTGAATTTAGCTCACACATAGTCAGTGAAGGTAGATCCTCATGTTTTGTAGGAGAGACTAACATAATAGCAATAATGTCTCATTTCTCTCCCTGTCTTCAAAAGGTGAACTTCACTCAGGACTTTTGCAAAAAAATGGGATATAGACTGAGGACAACCTCATGTACAGCCATCACAGCTGAGTCTGGAGAAGCAGGAACATTAGCTTTGAGAATGACAAAAAGAAAGGCCTGATTAGCATAGATGGAAGGGCAGAGACACAGAGGCTCCCGACAACTACCTGCAGGGACAGAAGGTGAGCAACTTTTCACTAGCAGGGGAGAGGCTGCTCCCTGTGGACATGTGCACTCTGCTCAGTTTGTCTCTTCTCTGTCTCTGAATTTCTGGGAGGGCAGGTTCAAAGGGCTTCTGGGACTTGATGATCATGGTGAGTCTGACCCTTTTTTATTTCAGACACTGTGTGAAACTTATGGTGAACTTTTATCACTGATGAATCCAGTAAAGACACAAATGGAAACTTGTAGAGGGAATGGATATTCTTAGTCTGTGCCTCGTCCAGAGCTATGGTCCACTATCCTCTCTAGTATAGCAACTTATTTGTTTCGAATGAAAGGGATTGCAAGTTTGTGTATTCAGGACTGGTATTCACTCTTCCAAGTGCCATGAGCTCAGATTGTCTCCATGTTCCACAATATCCCAGGGTCAGATAACCCAAAAGTCTTTCTCATCACTACCAGTGGGAAGTGTGAGAAGTGGACAGAGAGGGTTCACTGTGTCTGGGAGAAGGATCTGAGGACTTATAATGACAATGTCATAGCCTTTTCCTGTTGGTGATGCAGTTGACTCACCTCCTGCAGGGATAATTGTTCCAAGGAATAATGAGTCCCCATGACACCCTGGGATAGACTGCCTGCAATGATCTTCACAGGTGAAAGACTTAATCCTGAGATTCCTTCAGAGGCCACTGGGAAGGGAACACTCAAGTGCTCACCATAATTTTGTTTTTAGAAACATAAAAAGGCATCACAAGAGTAAGTAAGGTATTGCAGACCTAGAAGTCTGATGGAGATATATTTAAAAATTCTAAAAAATTGTGATATCTCAAATATGTAACTAAAGTGAAGATAATGCACTAAAAATGTGTTATTTATGCAAT